CCTAATAAGCTCAACACGAGTTATTTAACACAAAATTAAAATTCCTAAATTTTTAAATCTCCGAATCCGAAAACTTTGTCTCTCTCACGACAAACCACGAGGATAAAGAATGAAGTGGTGATTGAAGAATGATGTTGGTCCTTCACTAGTTGCCAGCCGTCGAAGAGCTTCCATCAGGTAATTTCAAAAACATTGTCTCACTCTAAGATTTTTTTCCATAATGGTTGTCTTTCTTTATTGTTGTTGACTTCGTCTTCCTCTTTTCTTTTGTAGAAATTGAACATGGATTTTTATTTAGGGTTCTTTAAAGTTATGTATTTGATTTAGGATTCTTCTTTAAATTTTAGTAGGAATTTGGTTATGGTTTGAAGTAGGATTGGAGGGATGGGTCGGATTTTAAATTTTGTTTTGATTTTGATTTTGGTTTAGGTTCTAGATCATTAAAATCAAGTCAAATTTTTGTCTGTGTAGTTTTGGATTTTGATCTTTTTAATATAGGTAATATGTTTAAATACTTTAATTGTGTGCAATTATAAAAGATGTTGAAAGATTAGAAATATATTATTATATGAAAACTTTGAGTGTGAAAATAGATTGTTTAATGAATAAAATAGAGAAAAACTGTTTTTTTTTTATCAAAGAGAAAACTTGTTTAAGTAAAGGAAGAATTTGTTGAATAACCAAAATCATAAGTAAAATTAAGTGTATGATACTGATGTTGAAAGAATTAAGAAATTATCATTTATGTCTCGTGTCATCTGGTTATATCCTCCGTAAATGTAAGTTGCTAGTACCAAAAGAAGGAGATGACACGATGGTTTATGAAGTGGACATCTTTATAAAGTTACTGTGCAGAAGTGAAGTTTGGTAGAACATCCACGTAGCTCTTTTTTGCCGCATTTGTTTGTCATTATAATAAATACCAAAGTGAGGTACTACCTAAGGTTGCGAGTGTCTATTCTATCTCAGCGACATTGTAAAACACCAAGATGCAGTAGAAACTGTACAAAATAAACCAACCCAAAACTGCAGATTATTATACCCAAACCCTATGTAGAATCCTATAAACACAAATACAATCTATAAATTATTTTCTAATATTAGAACTTAAAGTCACATTTACTTATTCAATGCATAATACATAGTATGGAATGTTGTAACCATACTATGGAATGCAAATAATAAACCCGCCTCACCCGCAAAAATATAACAATACAATACACCATTGATTAGTAAACGTAAACCCTAATCAAAGAAATATAAAGCCAAATAGAATGTATATAATATGGTTTCCTATACTAAACCCCTAGACGGGAACCTATAAACTCAAATAAAATTTATAAATTGTTTTCTAATATTAGACACTTGAAGACACATTTACTTGGTTAACATGTTGTATATTTTCTATTCCATACAATTTAAATAGTATAGGAAACAAATGTTCAAATAATCAAAGTTGTCCAACACTCGGAAAAATGAATTTCATATTACAATCAATTACAAAAAAAATTACAAAGAAGAGAATTATCAAATTTGCAAAATATAACAGATAATTACACTTTTAAAGAATGATATAGAAACATGTCTCAAATAATATAACAGCCTTACATAAATAACCACATTAAAGAATATATATTATACTATTCATTTCATGGAACATAAGCGAATTCATCTTCTTCAATATTTTTTTCCAAAAGTGCTAACCTTCACTTCGGTTACCGTCATTATTCTTCACCACCATATAGAGATCGTTTTCATTTCTTTGTTTTTTCTTAAACATCAACATTTTTACCGATCCGTCGTTGTTATTTTTCACCAATTAATCTGTAAAACTAAAACAAGATCACAATGGATCTGTAAACTAAAAACAGAATCCGAAACAAAGTATGATAACAAAAACATGATTGTGAGAATCAATTATTTAAGAAACTAAGAAAATAAATGAAAGAGTTGTTGTGTTTACTCATCGTCTACGCCTTCATTCTTATCACTCTTGTGAGAAGAAATTCAGTACAAGAAGACGGATGATGATAGACCACGTTTTACATTTTATAATTACAAATTATTAATTGAATTTTATTTACTTTATGCAGGTTTCGCTGGTTATATAGGGCTATAATTGCATTATTATATAAAAGACACAATACATATTTGTAACTTAGGTATTTTTGTTATACAAAGTTATAATGTTTTTGAAATATATACAATGCAACTTTCCTTAAGTAAACATCCGATCCAGAAAAATTAACTTAGTTAATTGTGAACTTATTTATGATGAAAAAGAACATATCAGAAAACAGAATTCATTAAAACGAGAGGCAATAGATGTTTTCTTTTTTATTTTCTTTTGACAAACAGACAAAAAAATTTTTGGCTTATACAAGGACAAAATATAAAGTTTATGGTTATCTCAAATCAAAAGAAAAATCTTAGTGTTTATAAATTTGAAATTATAACGTATACATATTCCAATCTTTAGCAATAAATTCTGCCTAACTTGTTTAATTGTGAACTCTGTTTTCTGATATATATTTAATTGTGAACTGATTTCTGATGAAAATGAACATATAAAAAAAACAGAATTCATAACGATAGACTGTTTTCTTTTCTTTCTTTCGAAAAGAGAGAAAAGAGGTTTTGGTATATACAATAGTTTTGTACAATAAGGTAAAATATAAGGTTTATGGTTATCTCAAATCAGAAGAAAAAAGCTTAGTGTTTACAAAATTTGAAACTGTAACGCATACATATTCCAATCTTTAGCAATATTAACTAAAAACCAAATTAGCATATGTGTATTAGATCAGTCCTCAGATGTTGGTAGTCGTAGATGATTTAATAGATATTCGAATAAAATAAATAAGTTTTAAGGTTTTTTACAAATTTAGGAGCTTATATTAATGTAGATTTTTCAAACACTTTGAAAATTATATAAACATGTTTCATTTGACTTGGTCAGGAACGACACTATATATATTTATGATATATGCTTAGATATTATATTATGTCATATTAGTGACAAACCCAAATGATTTCTTTTTGTAAATACAAACCGACAATGAAACAAAGTAAAATCTACGTTTAGAGACAAAAACTAACGTATATTTTTGCTAAGCCAAAAGAAATATAACAAAGTTTTTGAGGATGAGTGAAAACTGAAAACAAAGAACATGCAGAATTGTACAACACATCACGTGAGTAACATAAAGCAAATCAAGTACACACAATCTTCTCACCATGAATCACGCCGGCCCCACCATCCTTAATGATCATCACCACTCCACATCTAATCGATTCTACCAAGTTGATTGATGTATTTTCAATCTAAAACACTATTTTAATATAAAGATCACATTATTTTACACTAAAATAAAGATTTTCTTCAACGACAAGATTAAACTTTATGCTAAAAATAATTTTTATTTATAACATTCTTTATTATTCTATTTATCATTTATTTAATTACATATTAATTAATAAATAATATTTTAATAGAAAGAGTAGTGTTTAATATGGTAAATAGTTACATATCAAATTTCGAGGAAAAAATCTTAATTGATTGATTTTATGTTGGAGGAACTATAAATCTGTTTATATATTTGAGTGGTGTTAGGTTACTTAATTTATTTTTGTCATTAGAATTATAAATTGTATTTATATATATAGGATTTGAATGGTAATATGCAAGACAACTGTTGAACAAATACGAAATAACTGCGATATAGTTTAAACAATAAAAAAACATATAAACTTTTTATTAGTCTCTATTTAAGTTGCATGGAAACTCTGTTCAAAGTCTGTTTCCTGTTTCGAAAATGTTTCAAAATCAGAATTTTTTTGCACACTTGAGGAAATTTTTTGAAAACACGTTTCTTGAAAATATCATTTTGGAAACAAGATGAAAACTTGCGTTTATGATTTGAAAACTTACGATTCTAATTAGAAACGCTAAAGAGTAATTATTTACTATATGATTTTAGTGATTATATGTTTATTAATTAATATTTTAATATTATATTTCAGTATTTGTTATTATTTTGGTATAATGATTTGATCTGATATGAAGTTGCTTAATTGTTTTATTGACGTTATCGTGTTAGTTTTATAATTATTGAATATTAATTACAATTTTATTATAAAATGTACAAAAAAAATAATATTTATATTACTTAATTTTTTTCTTAAATAAATCAAATTAGAAAATTAAGCTTAATGTTTCCACGTTTTATAACGTTTCATTTTCATGATAAACCATTTTTTTTTCTTTTTAAAATTATGTTTTCATGTTTCATAACATTTCGATTCTACGAATCTGTTTTTGATTCCATGCTACCTAGATCTTCAAGGTAGTTGGAGCACCATCTAAAGCCATAAGAGGAGAATCAAGTCACAAAAGGTTCGTGACAAGAAGGCACCACTCCAGCTTCATGACGTGTCCGGCATTTCTTAGTTATATGAGCATATAATGATACATATATTTAAGGGGAATTTGCAGCAGATAGCTATAGAAAAAATATTAATTAGGTAAATGGCTATGATACTGTACATTTTTTCATAAATCCAATCTTACCCTTCCTACATTCTCAGTTAGGTGTAAAGATAGATATGATACATTTTTTATTCATCATTTATAGTTACCTAACATCAAACACTACTACATCGTGTCACTCTTCTCCTTCTTTNGGGAATTTGCAGCAGATAGCTATAGAAAAAATATTAATTAGGTAAATGGCTATGATACTGTACATTTTTTCATAAATCCAATCTTACCCTTCCTACATTCTCAGTTAGGTGTAAAGATAGATATGATACATTTTTTATTCATCATTTATAGTTACCTAACATCAAACACTACTACATCGTGTCACTCTTCTCCTTCTTTCCACAGGAACATAAAACCAAACTCCTTCACCAACATTTCATAAACTCTCCTATCTTTCTTCCTTCACCAACAATTCAAAAGATCTGCTCCTTATTTATCGAACACTAACTCAAGACCAATGGATCAGATCTACGGATCACTTCACCAAAACGGCAAAACAGCGATGTCATTGTGCGGCGGAGTAGAGAAGCCGAAAGTCACGGTGGCAGCAGATCCGTTGAATTGGGATGCTGCGGCGGAGCAGATGAAAGGGAGTCATTTAGATGAGGTGAAGAGGATGGTTGAGGAGTACCGTAGACCGGTGATTAATCTCGGCGGAGAGACACTGACCATCGGACAAGTCGCGGCGATCTCCAAAACGGCGCCACATTGCAAACCGAACTCATCACGTAATTAATTAAAATTTTAAGATTGCGAGTACGGTTGTCGGAGGATTGTCAAACCGGTGTTGTCTCAGAAGCTGGAAGTGGAAGCTAGAACGCGGAGAGGAAGCTGCGGAGACGGCAGTGGCTGTGGATGATGAGAGTGGATCGAATTTTGTTGGAGTGCTACATCCCCCGATCGTCCTCCGTTTGAGTTCCCTTCCCTAATCTAAGTTAAATCGATTTGGATCTTGGGCTTCCTCGCACGTTCTAAGAACATGTGTGAATATGTTTCAGATTTTTCTGTGTTTGAAGGTTATTCAGATAATCTTAGAACTTTATGCATATTCGATTAAATATATCTTGATATATACCCGGTTTTAGAACAAAATAATCTGTTACACATATCTTGATGCATGTTATCACATGTTATATCCTGATTTAATTTATATTGTGGATTAAGAAACCGAATAAATATCAAATAACGGATATATCACTATTTTGTCGTCTACCTATACATACCACGCTCTTCAAAAGTTCTCACGCAACATTTACTATCTAGATGTGCAGGAGTCGTAGGGCAACATAGTAATTTTACTCCTCTCAGCTACATGATTCTGCAAATATTAAAAAATAATGCATGATTCTGCAATTACCATCTCCATTTTGTATATTCACCTCATTAGCCCTNTATCACTATTTTGTCGTCTACCTATACATACCACGCTCTTCAAAAGTTCTCACGCAACATTTACTATCTAGATGTGCAGGAGTCGTAGGGCAACATAGTAATTTTACTCCTCTCAGCTACATGATTCTGCAAATATTAAAAAATAATGCATGATTCTGCAATTACCATCTCCATTTTGTATATTCACCTCATTAGCCCTATATTTAATATATTATTTCTCTTAGATATAAGAAAACATGTTAGGAAAAAACTTATAACAGAAAAAGTTAACTAATAACTAGTGCAATGAATACAATTTTTCTTTAAAAAGAAACTTGCATTTACGATCGATAAAAGAATTACGTTTTTTTATTTATCAAACCGCAAACCATATGTGAAAACATCAACCAGTGATCAAATCGGTATTTCTCTAAAAAAGGTTATGAATTTTATATATTTGAATGGCTACAACATGGAATGAAATAAAATTTAGTCCACAAAGTTTATTAACGATATCAAAATGATAAAAATACGAATTATTTACATTCACTTATTTTATCAATGGAAATTAAAATTTGAAGCAAAAAAAAACATGTATCTCTACTTTCGCTCTCAATCCTAAGTCCTCGATTTTTTCCTCATGTGCTCTAACAGTTTCTTCGGCACCCTTCAGCACTGCTAGGGAGTTTTTGCCGACTCTTCCATATCCAAATCTATCTTTGTCGTGAAGGTCTGTTGATGATGTGATTCTGTATCATGCATCATCTTTGCAAGTGACATTTTTGATTCGTCAAGTTGAGAAGGATTCCCATCGTGGTGTCTCTAGCGACTGTATCGCCGTTATCCTTATCATCGTCGATATGAATGTTTCCTCTCCCGGTTGCTGACTTTCCTTGCCATCCTGTAAAGTTAAGTTGTTGTTAACCTCATTCTTGAAAGGCTTACTGGTATGCATCGCCTGAGCTAGAGGTCTTCGGACCTCGAATTGGATGTGATATGGACATCATTGTCTATCCATTGAGTCAAGATTAGGCGGTTAGCTAATGAGTGATGCATTAATTTAGCTTCTTATCCCTCATTTGTTGTTTCTGTTGGCTTTGCTTGTTAGTTTGGATTGGAATTGTGTGTTTAAATGAGTTGTGAACTGGACGTTCTTCGTTTTCATGGAGCTTTGGGTCACACTTTCACTACAAAAACAATATTTATACGAGGATCGTATTCTATGTAAAGTCGTCGTAATAGGGGTGTTACGACGAATTTACTAGGAATCGCGTTTCGTTGTAAAACGTCCGTCATAATGAAATATTCGTCATAAATGTCATGTTACTTTACCACGAAATGGGGCCTTCGTAAAATAGAGGAGAGAAATTCGTCGTAAAAGACAAGTTAGCATTCGTCGTAAAGTCCATGTTAACATTCCTCGTAAAATGGACGTTAAATTTCGACGTAACATACTCGTGAAATATATGTAAAGGTTACGACGAATTTACGTATCCACAAAGCAAATTCATTGTAATGTTTTACAAGGAATTACCATATCTTTCGATGTAAATTCCATGTAATATTTACAACGACTTTACTTTGCATATATAATATATATATATTGATAATATTCGAAACATAAATATGTAAATTATAAAACGAAATATTTAATTTTTTTAATTGTTATAAAAAAACCAGAATATAAATGTCATAAAATAATATTTAAATTTATATTACAAAAACAAAACAAATTAAATAAAAAATACGGCTCATTCTGGTCGAAGTAGTCATGGCCAGTGTTTTCCGAATCCGTTGGATGAGGCTGCATCCCGAGAGCCACTCGTCTCTCATTCAATGCTTGTAGCATTGTCGGATTCCCCACCGCAAAGAGGAGAAGGAGATCTTCAAGTGAATCCATGCGAGTCTGCTGAAAATCCATTTGATCCCGCATCTGAGAAGTGTCCTCATCCCGTCTCGAAACGTATGACTCTTGGGACTTCGTTGACCGAGTCTATTCCCACTTTCCGTCCCTTTTTCCTAGGAGCCACATTTACCAAAAAATATATACATTATTAATAGTTAATTATATTATTTAAAAGAATATAAATAAATTAAAATTTATTTTAAAATTTACCTCTTCAAAAATACGTTCAACTTCTTCCGTAGTTAATTTGACCGGTAATCCATCGGGAGCTTCTTGGGTTAACTATGTCTCCCGCTCTTCAACCCGAGTAGCCACATCGTTATAGAGTTTCTCCGACGCTTGATCAACAAAAAATCCATCAGATGTGGCGTGAGTCATCTTGAAAAATTCACCCAAAAATGGTAAAACTCCGGTTTTCTCGTACTGCACAATAAAAATTATTTTTTCAAAAGAAATTTACTTAATAAATAAACTAAAAGAATTAAATTAAACATTTAAAATATAACTTACAACATTTAGACGGATCTCGGCGTGAGGTTTTTTCCCGGTTCTATGAAGCATCAGGTCATTACTGTTTTTATCCTTCGTTCTCTGAGATGAATAGGATGAGCTGGACTTCTTGATCGACTCGGGGAGGCTCCAAAAGGCGATGAGATCATCCCACACATGCTTCGAGATCTCGGTGGCTTCAACCGTGGTATTCCCACTTGTCCTTCCAATCCGAGACGGTATTGCAAAGACGGAGTTTTGCCTTTGCTTCAAATCCCGTCTTCACCTTCTCGGTGAGCGATATGTTCCAGTGCAACTTTTGCTGGAAAAAAAGTTTACGCCATATTAAAATAAATAATGTAATATTTAATAATTAAAAAATTAAAAATAGTTACCGTAAACATTTTAAACCACATTCTTCTAATGTGTTGTGGAGTCATTGTCCAGTTCGGATAGACGTCGAGAAAATAGTCCTTTATCATGCCAGAAATATTTCGGCTGACACGGTTGTTGACTCCAAACCTGAAAATATATAATAACCAGTTTGTTAAAAAAAATATTAAGTAAAAATGCACATTTTTAAAAAAAAAAAACTTACCAAAAAGTATCCGGAGGTCGATCAGGATTCAAAATTTGTAATCCCTCTCGGCCCGGTTGGCAAAGAAGATCCTCCACAGTATATGTAGCGTAAGGTACAGATAGAGGTACCTGCAAATCTGGATGAAGATGCTCACCAGCAGCGGGATCATGTGCAGAAGGAGGTGGGGGTGCTGGGATAGGAGTTGGAGGCATCTGATAGAAAATCTCATTGGTGGGATAATACGCCTGAAGGTCAGGGACAGCCTCGGATTACGAAGGTCCGGTAGAAGATGACGGTCCGGTAGAAGATGACGGTCCGGTAGAAGATGTCCCGACACCATTGCCACACATCTGAGCATAAGTGGGACGGATAACTAGTTTAATCCTGGGATCCATCTACAATAAAATAAAAAATAGGTCATCATCTTGATTATCTTAAACTAAAAGTCTAAACTAATAACTTAGACTAATTTCCTAAGTTAACCACCTAAACTATCCACCTAAACTATCTAAGTAAACTAAAAAAAGGAGAGAGAGGAACTTACATCAAGAGAGAGAGAGAGAGAGAGGAAGTGGAGGCGAATGCACTATGCAATCCTCGTTGTGGTTTATATAGAGAATTCGTGTTCGTCGTAAAGCCCACATAATATTACAACAAAAGTACCAGGCCCGCGTTTTTTACGATGACATTACGTGGACACTTTACATCGAAAGTACTAGGCCCGTCTTTTTTCTACGACGAAGTTACTTCGCACACATTACGACGAAGTAACCAGTCCCGTGTTTTTTACAACGAATTTACGTGGAGTTCTTTACAACAAAATTACGTGGAGGCTTTTACGATGAAAGTACAATTCCCGCGTTTTTTACGACGAGATTACGTCAAACGTGTGAATCCCCGAAAATCAAATCCCTAAACTCCAAAGTTACTTATCTCACAACATAATCTCTTCTTTTTCCTCTCTTTAACTCTTTTACACATTCATCCTCTTTATCCAATTTTTCTAAAACCTGAACTCTTAATCAAAAATTTTAAACCTATATGATTAATAGTTATATCAAACAACATTTGGTACACATTTTACATTAAAAACACAACATTTGGTACACATTTTACATAAATAAACACAACATTTTGGTACACATTTTACATCTTTCAGAATAATTTAAGTTCTTATCAATATCAACAGAATCATCATCATCACTCACATTAAACTCGTCTTTGCCTGCTTCATCCGTCACATCGTCAAGAAGATCTTCATATTGACGGTTGATCAATTTCTTGACCAGGTACTTCTATTTGCAAAGGTGGTTCTTCTTGCAAAGGTGGTTCTTATCCAGCAATTATTCACCCACGAGGTGTAATCTTGATAACAACTAACCAAGTTATGCCCGAATTTCTAAGGCGAGGATATGGGATAAAACTTACTTGCTCAGCTTGGGAAGCTAAGATGAAAGCCTCGAATTTGTTGTATCTTCTTACAGAGTTGACATCCACAACACCAAATTTGTTAAAGCGAACACCCCTGTTCGCAACAGGTTCGAACCAGTCACATTTGAAGAGGACACATTTCAGCTTCAATAACTCCGCAAATTTCACTCCAATAATCTCCTGCAAAATTCTATAAAAGTCTGTTTCGCCTTTCACACATATTTCGTAGTTACTTGTTGCCCGACGACTCCCATAGTTTTATGTATGAAAGGTAAAACCTTTTGTAAAATACATTGATAATGTGGTGAATTTTGATACGGGACCTCGGATCAAATCATAAAACCATGCGAGATAATATGGATCGTCTTCTTCAACCTACAA